CGCTCGACAGCTGTTTTTCTCTCGTTTGAGGGCCGATCACATCAGGGTTGTCATACGTATGACTCCGCTTACAGTGCTAAATAATCGGTTTAAACTTACTGAGTTCTGGCTGGAGACCTGAACGAACTGATAATGTAATCTATCAAATTCATCATTCTGAGGCACATATTCAACATAGATCCCAGTGTGCGATTTGCTGGACTTCTAAATAGCAGTGAACAAACAGCAAATATAAAGAACAGAGACCATGGAGTGCGAACGCACCAATAACCTTGAACGCATACTATTGATTGGATTACGGAACCTGTTGTCTACTATCCATCGAGAAGCCGTTTATTTAATTACCAGAAAGATTAACATAAAATGATAATAATGGAGGGCACTAAAGACGACATTTCATCCTGATATAAATGAAAACTACTCCACGATTACAATGGAGAGTGTCTGTTTCCAGGTTTCATAGCTATCAGAATACTTTCATCAATATGAACAGCGGAAAACTCGCCTCTCATTTAAACATTTAGTAATTATAGAACACCTTACCTCTAATCGTTACCTTGACCCTAAACCTCACACTAACCTTAATCATAACCACAAGTCTAATACTAACCCTAATTTATTGTTATTTTTATTATTATTAATTCCTTTACGTCCCCAATAGAACATAGGGCGCCTTCAAGTTAGAGCTTGGAAGTTTCGCTAGCAATGGTATTTATTTTTACGGGATGGGGTTTCTAGCTTCTCACCTAATATTTCCTCTTTACCAGTCTTATCACTGGCTTGATGAGGTAAATGAATGTGTCAGTGGCTGAGAATCCAACCCCAAACCACATAAGGCGTGGTTGGGGAGCATTCTGATGCTGTACTACTGACGAACAAACCCTAATACTACTACCAATCGTCATGTGTTATCAACACATTCTCCAGACAGTGCTCCAAAATCGAGATCCGTATTCAACTCTTATATTAATTCATGCACAGAGTTCGTACTGGTTCTGTGATAACGCGGAAGGTTATGTGAGATCTAACGAATGGTATGCATTCAAGGTGACTAGTACGTTCACACTCCATAATCTCTATTCTCTAGGTTGATTCACTAAAACAAACGACACAACACGCTGGTACTTATAACTGTTTGATGTAAGAACAATAAACACTCTGGCTTGATTTGAGTGATTCCCATAGGACAGAAGCTAAAAATCTTCACAGGATCTCAATGTAGACGGCTAATAAATCAGTCACATGGCTATGATGCTTGTTCTCGTTTTTCGGTCAATGTTTTCCAGCGCCCATCAAATCACAACGTCTATTCACAAAATTTTTTTAAAAAAAAACTATGCTGTTAACTGAAATTGACAAAACAATAAGATGACGTAATTTATATGAAACGCTCCATGTATATTCGAGCAACACGCATACTTCTCATGCACACTTATTGATTTATTTTCTATAGTTTGGTTTGTAAGGGTTAGTTATGTTTTTACGAGTTGATCACGGATTGATATCAGTTAGAGAACCATTGAAAACCAGTATTGGAGTACTGCCAGACAGCTGTTTCATCAGTCTAGTTTGGGAATCATCGGCAGTACGCAACCATGACAGTGGGGTTTGAACCCAGGACCTTCCGGTTACAAGGAAAGTTGGCTCGTATACCATTCAGCCGCTGGGACCCAATTCAGTGGTCAGTGCATGAATTCTAACTTCTACCAATTCGTGATTTAACGCCACCACCAAGCAACATCATAGGTGGGAGATCCATCCTCACACTTGACGTCTGGATGGACCTCACTGGTCACGACTTCTCACTAGAACTCAGGAAACTCCAACCTGTAGCAAGCCACTAGCGAGTATCAGATTAATTTTCTATAGTTTGGTTTGTAAGGGTTAGTTATGTTTTTTACGAGTTGATCACGAATCGATATTTATTTATTTGAGAGTTAATAGAATATGAAAGGTCAGAGTTGACTTAAATGTAACTCAAAATCACTGAAAAGTGTCAATAAAGAAGGAGGAGGGTTGTGTGTTATAGAATATCATTATGTAAAAATGATCTTTGGTTTTTCAAAATTAGATTATTAAGGGAAAACTGAAGTGATCTCTTATACTGTACCAATTTTTGATAAATATGTTAATGACAATTAAATATGTGCTTAGAATGACTGAAATATGCTTTTCGCAAAAATCTATATTATACACTTCAGATAAATTATTATTAACAATCCTTTGGGTTCCAAGTGAAACAGACGGCTTCGACAACACATCTGCCCTTTGTTCTCTTTGGTACTGTCCTCTTCAGACGGGTCCACGATTGCTTATAATCTCTTATCTCCTGTATATATCACCCTTGCTCACAACAATGACCCAATTATGGCCTCCTATTCCATCTTCTACTCGATCCATAGCTCGCATTTCACGCAGTGTCATATGACGGCCTCCTTTCCCAAAGTATACCCGGTCAATCCATTTCCATTTTCCTCCTACATTTCTGTTTAGCAATCGGCCGTTGATTGGTTTGTTCCCAGCCAGAGTTTCTTCTTGTTAATTCTTTCTGGCAATTTGATCTTCAGCATGGAGCCAGCCAGCGAAGGTGGCAGCTGTTGATAAAAAGTCTGCCACTACCTTGTTGGAAATCTATTTAGCGACACTCTAAGTTTTCTGATAAATTCCTCCTTTTTTTTGTTATTTTATGTCATAAATATTTGCTCCACTGTAATTGTCAGCTAAGACGGATTTCTAAGTATCATTTTCCTGGAAACAAAACTTTATCTATACTTAAAAATTATGTATAAATGCAATCAAACAGCATAGGTGAATGTTTAAGATTCATTGCTTCCATTCAGACGGCAGGTGAACACTCGTGTGAGTCAGTGGTTCATCGGTAGACTTCTCACTAACCACGCCGCGAGTCGTCTGGTGTTCAACCCCCCTGCCGATACACTCCTTAACCCTGGTTTAAAAGGATGGTTGTGCGCGGAACTGGCAACGCCTACCCAGTAAAACAACACAGGATAACGCCACTTTTACTGGAACTTCAAACCTTCATGTCTAAAGCCCTATGTTCCATTTTCAGAACGTACAAGAATAAAATAAATAATAAGTGAATGGTAATATATTGGCATGACAACCAGAATATCCGGAAGTCGATTCATCCCACTTTCAGTAGTTAGTGATGAAGAACTATAAGAAACTAAACTTCATACATTTGGTTCACTTGATAAATATCGATTAAGGAAGAAGGGCCAAATTTGCAGTATAAAATGACGTCATCATTTTATTTCACAGGTTCTCATCAGCCGTCATCAACTACCTGAAATTACAATGGTTATAAATAAGAATAGTAATATATATTTCGATGTTTGGATGGTAGTAGGGCTGTGGTGAGAGCAGGCCGTGAGAAAATATGAGCAAGGCCGATTCAACAACCAATCACAGCAAAGTTAACGTGGCAAAATATGATTCGCAGATAGAGAAATCTATTTTTCGAGGAATCCCGAAACAACCAATCAGAAGCCTGCGTTTGTCTGCCTAACTTCTGATAAACAACCAATCAGATGACTGCGCTTGTCTACTTGCATAAGCTATAATAATGTACATGAAATATGTATAAATACGTGTTGATTTTTATAATATAACGATCTGTTGCCTGGCCCTTATCTTCTGTTGTTACAGGGCTGTAAATATCATGAAATCAACGTATCAGAAATATAGACATTACAATTTTTAGCTAAAGTTACCATCAAAATTTTATACCTTTCAAAATAGGAAAGCAGTCAGGGGGAGAGGACGAACAACTTAATGCTCAGTATTAGCTTATAGGTCCACATAGCAACTCAAGAAGGTTACAGTTCATAATACTGAGAACATGATCAGTATGCTGAAATCACTAATATAGATGACTAGTCAATGTAATCAAAATACAGTTTTACCAAGGAATTGAGAGATTGATTACACTCTCTTTCTGTATACATGAGTTTGGTTTGAGATATTTGACTGCAATTTTAATATTTCAAAGGATTTGGAAACCTCGATGATGAAGTAACCTGAAACTAAATTAATACATGTGTAAAACTGTATCGTATGATTCGCTCCTCGTGCTCTAAGTAGAAGAGACAGCCTCCACCGCATATCTCCACTGCACTCTTTTTTTCTTTCTGATATCACATTCAGATAGCTCTAAAAAACTATCCGCGAAATTTTGTTACCTTGATGTATAATTTTCCCTATGTCATTCATGATGGTTAACTCCATTGCTTCCTGTTTGGATTCCACCCGACAGTCTGACAAATGACATCACTTGGATGTCTCTACACTCTGTCAATACTTAATCTCTACTTCCTAGCGCATATTATTTGGGCAATAGGTTCGTGTATAGTGTGCTGAAATAACAGAATGCTTTATTGGTTATCCGGTGATGAATACTGAATAATTAATGTTCTACTACATAATAACTATCCATGAGTTTATTTGTAGGCATCTAATTTGTTGATCAGTTTTGATCATGGATTAGTGTCTGTTAAAAAACGCTTGAAAACCAGGCAGGACTACTGATAAGCTGTCTCTTCATAGTTCGGGACTCATAGGAAGTACGCAACCTCTGACAATGCTCAAGCCTGGAACCTTCCGGTCACAGGGCAAGCTAGCTCATAGACCATTAGGCCACTAGAACCCCACTCAATGCACATTGTCCGTGAATTCTAACTTCTGCCAATTTCGTGATCTTAGCGCGAATGGCATCAACCAATGTCATAGGTGAATTTGCCCTGCAACGAGAAGGTCCTGGATTCGAACCTCGATAAGTTTCAAACTATGTCGAGGTAGCTCTATCCAGTACTCCATGCTGGTTTCCAATAGTTCTATGACTGATATCAATCCGTGATCAAACCCTGAAGAAGTAATTTTTATTACATTAAGTAATTAATCGATGTAAATTTTCTTCAAAACTGTTTTGTCTCCTTTTTCTACTTCGCTTTACTTCTATTTTTCTTTTCAAATAATGTTAGTTGGAACTGAAATCAATTGAAAAAATTATCTTCTTGGCTAATACAGCCAATTGTCCTGTTGTCATTTCCTCACCGAATGGATTGAAAACAATAGAAGAAGTTAGTGAAGCAAGACGTCAGATACCACCAGCACATATGACAGTCTGTTGTACGCCTAATTCACTACAACCGACAACGACAAAGGGGCAGGTAAATTACGATCATACTTCTTGTTGTATAAAACAATACTTTTTAAAAAAAATATTTTGTGCTAATAATAGTTTGTATTTCAAGTGTTGTTTCTCAGACACCTGAGTGATTTTAAGTTTGAAAACAAACTCAATTTAGCTAGAAAAGCATTGAAAACCACCAGGCGGTGCTGAACAGTTGTTTCGTCCCGTTTTTGGCCTCTTTAACGGTGTGCATTCAGGGATTGAAATCAGGACCTACAGGGAACAAAGGAGGCTCATTGACAATGCAGCCACTGGAATGGTATCCAGTGGCGCTTGATGAATTCTAACCTCTGTAAATTAATGATGTATAGTGCGATCACCAGTCGGTGTCATCGGCGGGCTTCTGTCCTCACATCGATACTGGTAGAGCTGTCCCTGGGATTTTAGGCAGTTAGTTATTAGGTAGTCAATCATTAGTAACGGCTAGATTGATCTTCAAATGTCGGTATACAAGCATTTAGTTGATTTCGAGAAAATCATTAAAAACCGGGGTGAGGGGCGGAAGGTTATTGGAAAACATTCCACTCTACTGATGTTTAAAGTGTACAGAAGTTCAAATGCCTGACTGGTTGATGTCTGTAAGGCATCTACAATTGCAATGGACCGACTAGAGTTTTTTTTATTTAATTATAGCTGTATTGATTCAGTTGGGCAAGTTAGATTTAGCTGTGTTATGATGGGTAATCATTAAATTAGGTTCCTTGTAAGTTACTGATGAAGCCGTCTGATTAAGTGTGAAGTGTTAAGGTTGTATGATTGGAGGTAATCGACAGGAAGTTCAAGACAATTAGATTTCGTGCTTATTGCCACTCATCAGTAATCCTCAAAGGAATTCATTACTCCTCTCAGATTCGAATCGGCTTGTTAAGCATGCTGCTGAGCTATCTATCGCATTATTCAACTAATAACATTTATTGAAGTATGATTAAGTTAGAAGAATTAGGTGTGGTCAAACAAAAATCTACAGCTGTCAGCTAAGTAATGAACTCTTAATCTTCATCTTGTATGAAGGTAAAGCGCCAGGTGGTTAGGGTCTCCAGTAATTTAAGAATAAGTATTTGCAGATTCCCAATGAATTCTGTCAAAATTTCCTCTCATATTAGTACTTATTTTTTCCCGCTTTTCGAGATTCCACACCGATTCGTCGATCAGTCTGTCAGATCTCTTGTATCTCACTCAATAAAATTTCACCACAATACCTGAATATTTCGTTTCTAAAATGTGTTTTGTGTATTTGTAAACTAAGATCATGTGATGACTATAAGTGAATTGACTATACAAATTCATATTTCAGTATCATATTGAACGAAAGTGAATGCTTGAAATACGTAAGACAGAAACAGCATTAGTGTTACGTAATCTCAGAGCCCAAGGGACAACTATTTAAAGCCAGTCACATACCACTTGTTTGAAGAGGTTTGTAGAACTTGATCCTTATTATAATCTTACTACAACCTATGAACTGCTGCAAGACAAGTTAGGGTTAACATTTCTAACCCTATTCTCCACAGTGGAAACACATAACAGATAGCTTGCTGGTCGTGCTGGAGAAACACTCTTACTGACATTACACTCCTACTCTCATGCAGTCAGGTGAGAGCTTATGGCGAGTTGTCATCTGAACTGGTGACAACTAGTGGTGTCCGACAGGGATGCCCACTATCCCCATTTCTATTCAATTTTATCATAGATGTACTAATGAACTAAACCCTAACTCACTTCAGAGACTCAGGTATTGACTTGTTACCACCAGAGAATAATCTCGTTGACTTAGAGTATGCAGATGATATATTCTTCCCTCCTAAGTGAAGACGCTGACAAAATGCAGAGTCTTCTGAACACCCTGAGGTACAATCTACGAATGTTTGGCATGCGATTCGCGCATGCTGTCAAATGTAAGATGATGCTACAGGATTGGACTGATCTAAATTGACTCCTAGCTTATAGATAGGGGGTGAAGTCGTAGAGCACGTTAACCACTTCACTAATTTTGGAAGTTGCATCAGCCAGCCACAGCGGGTTGATGGCTGACGAAATCTCAGCACGGATACAGAAGGCTAGTTTGGCATTTGTCAGCTGACGCCATCTCTGAATTGGTTGATTTGATATCCGGCTGGCTATCGACCAAAGGGAGTGTGTACTGCTTAAAAGTACTACGGGTAATGTTAGCTGACATGGGATCAGGTTGGAAAAGAGCTAGTTAGTGGCGGTCAAACCAAAACATGGTTTCATCAATCAATGGAAACCATAACGATTAGTTTAAGCCAACCACGTAGGAAGGTGTAGACTGGCTAGCTGACTGGTTGGGGTCCTCGGGACGGTGAATACCAATGAAGGCTGGAGACAATTAGTGATATGGCTCAAAATCTTTCTCGATGTTGGCGCAGATGCATCCACTCCTTGTGACTTATAATACCCAATAAAACTATATTGTTCTTCGATATTAGTTTTCTTTTTGCATCGTATCTCTGTTCACTTTCCCTATTTTGCGTTTCTTTTTACTTTCTTCTCTTGCTTTGTGTGCTATAAGGAGTGGAGTGTGACGACCTGAACTCTTGCACATCGGTGCAAAGTAGTTCTATGTTGAAACCAGTCAGTGAGTCAGTCCTGTACATCACCAGTACTACTTCATCCTCAGACTCTCAACATATTGTAAACGCTTTATACTATAATAAGAACTAATTTAAGTCTAACTGTTATCCAAATGACCTTCCAGTCATGATAGGAATTGCGTGGAACATTAGTTTCATCTGGTGTATTTCGTTGGGTTACTGCAATATGCAAACCCAACCGCCACGTCAAGGTGGCAGTTATTGGTTGAGATTTTAAACCACCCTCCAGGAAATATCTAATCATTACGGCCTCAAAAAATGACAACAAAAGAAATCGTAGATCACCGATTCAGTTAATCGATCCACATTTAATCTTATAATACACAGACAAGAGTTTAAGGTAACCTTAAGATTGAAAAGGTGTTTCAGGCTTAAAATGATTGGGTGATTTATTGGGGACTAATGCCATCTCAAAAGACTAAATATGTGATAAGATTATCAACCAAAGGGGGATTCGAACCAGGAGACTCTAGGATTACTAACCTAGTTCCTTCTACTAGTTCAATGACGAGATCCAACTGGTAACTGTGTATGTGTGTGTGTAGTTACTTGTGATTAATACATTGAAGAGACATGGCGTGATTAGCAGTTCGACTTGATAATTCAAGTGGTTGAGCACTTGACCCCGCGTTCGAATCCTGCGATGACTACAAATTCGCCTCTACCTTCACCTTGTTCAACCATCATCTACTAGACAGCATACCCATCATTGTTATTATTTTTATTATTACTATTATTACAATGGTGACTAAAAGAACATTTCTGAAATCAACAAAAAAGTACTGGGATAATTATGTTAATTTTATACTGAGTAAATAAAATAAAAAAAATAATTTACAAATATTTGCATTGTTTAATACACGATAAATATATGCTGAAGTGATTTTAGTAACTGACATCAGAACAGACTGATATAATGTTTTTGTGACTATAGTTACACAAACAAGAAAGAGAGGGTATCTGGAGTCAGAGTTACACACACCCACGCTTGGGCGCACAGACAAGCCTTTCCCCCCGCCCACACACACACACACACATACACACACACTGATACAGGAATAAATACAGACAAGGAAAAGCCCGATTGCACTTTCTTTTTAGCCTCCTCTATTGTAATTGTGTAGTGTCTTTTTAAGCCGCTATCATAAACTATTTTACATAAATGATATAAAAACTATGTGTCTTTGAGGTTGTCTTTATATTAACGTTAGATAAACTAAACATCAAAGAGAAAGAAAAGGAAGAGATAGACACCAAAAGGAATATATGTGTTGCTTTGTCAGAAATTGTTTTTTGTTTGTTTTCTCTTTTTACGAGTTCTGGTTTGCGGCGAAATCTAGTTAGTAGATTGAGACGCGTGAATTCGAACTTCTCTAGTCTGCTGCACATCGGTGCAGCAGTTCAAGTCGCCACACTCCACTCCTTGTAGCACACAAAGCAAGAGAAAATAATAGAAGAAATCCAAAATAAAGACAGTAGACAGCGATATGAGACAAAAGGAATAGTAATAACGAAGAACAATATAGTTCCATTGGAAATTATAAGTCACAAGGAGTGGATTCATCTGTGCCATCATGAAGAACAATTTTGAGTCATATCACCCACCAATTGTCTCCAGCCACTGATTTTTACTGTCCCGAGGACCCCAACCAGGAATTCTACACCTTCCTACATGGCTTAGACTAACTGTTGTGGATTTCATTGACTGGTGCCATGTTTTGGTTTGGCTGCCGCTAGCTCTTTTCCAGCCTGACCCTATGTCAGCTAACATTGCCAGTTGAGGAAGGCAAGAGATGGCTAGGTACGCGTAACACATGTCGCAACCGTCTCAATCGATGTGACCTCACAGCCTCGTCGATTGATATCCCCTACTTACCTAGCACTCAACCAATGACTAACCTCAATATTGCTCACCTTATTACACCACTTCACAGGGGAGAAAGAGCACAGGCACCTATGATCAAAGAGGAACTTCTGTAGACCAATGGAGAACTTCAGAAGACTACTCTTAGTGTTATGAGAAGAATGTGCTTCTCAACAACAACAACAAAAAACTCATGAAATTCTTCTCTTAAAGATATCACAGGTTGAAATTCCTCCCTTGAAATCCGGGTTCATGTAAAGTTTCCCTCTAGAGAAACATAGTGTTACTTATACCATGAAGTTGAATTCCATAGGAAACTTAACCTTTGATATCCTTGAGAGAAAAATGTCTTCATCTTTGTGAAGAATATTCTTCACGGCAACTCTACGAGTAGTGTTCTCCAGTTTTCCACTGAATTTGCAGTAGTCTGAATGTGTAGATCTCTCATTTGACTACTTCTGTGTGCATATCTATCTATCTATCAGTTCACATGTTCCTGTG